TGGAAGAAATTGTTGAAAGTGATAAGTAGCTTAAGCTGTATTGTTATGATGAAAATTATATTATTAATGAACTAAAAAATCAAATTAGATTACCAAAAACAGAATAAAGATAAATATATATATAAGAAAAGATTATCTAATGAAAAAACAAAAGGTGCTTCTAAGAAGAAAAGATTGAATCAGGTTTCAAATATTGAGGAAATTTCATCATCTAGTTCTACTGAAAATAATGGAGAATCATTAACTAACAAGTTGGAAAAATTATTTAATTTTCCTTTGGATAGCTTTATATCAAAAGAGTTAAGTGAAAGAAATACATGTAATATCAAAAGAATTATTATAAAGAACCAAGTGAAAGAAATAATGTTGAAAAAACTTATTTTGAAGAGTCAAGTAAAAAGTCAAGTGAAATAAATAATGCCCAGAAAACTTATTTTGAAGAGTCAAATAAAATAAATAATAAACAAAAAACTTATTTTGAAGAAAACAAAGAAGTATTATTTGATTATCTACAAGGATTTGAGCAACTTTTTAGTATGCTATCAGAATACAGTATTTTTGGCTTAGATTCATCAAATCAACTTCTATTAACAAGCTATGGCTTTAACGAATGGCAGTCAACAGAAAATTTAAAAAATCCTTCTATGTATGCAGAGGAGTCAACAAAAAAATTTAAAAATCCTTCTGCAATAACATATGAAGAATACACAACAAAAAAATTAGAAAGTCCTTCTGAAATGATAGATGGTGATAAGTCAACTGAAAAATTAGTTGATTCTGTGCTAATGGGAATGCTGTCAATAGAAAATATAGAAAATCTCCTTATACTGATTAATGGTGGACAGTCTTCCGAAAAGCTAACTAACTTAGATTTTGAATTATTAAATTTTGAATCATTAAATCTTAAATCATTAATGAGCCTTATAATATAAAATAGGCAAATTAAACACAGCAGACTGTGATGTAAAATGCAATTTCTCACCTTTTTGGTTATTTTTTTGCTAGCTTTTTCATCTTTCTTTGTTGTTTTTTATATCAACATTTAGTTCAACATTTAGTCAACGTTAGGGTATTTATAATTAATAGTTTATAGTTTACACCTCTATATCTCTGATAATTTTAAAAGGCCTATATGAATTATATAATTTTTATAACTTTATGATCTTTTTGACAACAAAAAATTATAATTGAATTCTATTATATAACTATACTATTGAATAACTTGTAAAAAGAACAAGTTTAAAATTTTTAAGGAATTTTGAATTATTATCAATTTTATCTAAAATCTCTGGCCTCAATAATCAAATTTTATTCTTTATTAATAACAACAATAAAAGGTTTAACAGTATCTGATCACATTATTTTCATAGCAACAATGAAAATAAGAATAATACGATGTATTGAAATCTATCAAAAAATTCTATCTGTAACTATACTGAAATTTTTTATAATAGTACTCAAGAAAAAATTACTACCAATCCAAGTGAAAACTAGCAATTATTATTATAAATTCATACTAATCTTTTAGAATTGCTGGGTTGCACTTGGCGATATTTACATATCTAATTTGTATAGGTTTGCTGGTTCAAGAGTTATTGCAATTGGAATTTTATATGTTTTACTATTTATGCTACTGCTAATAAAAAATTTGAATATTTTCTATTATTCATCAGTTTAGCTTTTTTATTTAATATAAATACATAATCTTTAGAAAATAAAAAATATTATTATTTATTGATAAGCATTACTAATTAAAAATTTTATTTTAAGAAAAACTTTCAATATATGAATAATTTGTATGAATAGAAACCAAAATTAATTAGCAAATTTTTGAAACAAATCTTTAAAGGCTCTCTTCTAATTCTTTTAAATTTTTATCAAATAGCTTATAATAGTTTATGTTATCTGTTAGTTCTTTTTCTTCAATTTTTTTAATTGATCAACCCATTCTTTCTTTGACATGTGCTTTAATCTAGAAGGGTTAATAGACTCACTTTTATAAACGATGAACCAACTCAACCTTTGAACAAGTATCACTGAATGTCTGGCAACAACCATTTTATTTTTGATTATTGCTATTTTACCTTTATGGTAAATTGTGAATAGTTTTACTAATATTTTATTTACATGACTTGCAACTCTTTCACTCTTATTAAATTCATGATTCCAATTATTTGCTTCAGGGTTTACTTCTTGTCTCTCTTCTTTAGTATCTTTATTAATCATGTAATATAACTGAAACAAAGAATTGATTAGATTTCTTTAGTTCCTTTATTCTTTTAGTTATTTTAAATAATATAAGTGCCAATTCACAAAGAGTATGGATGTATAAAATCCTTGAATAATTATAATTTTCTTTACTGCTAGAAATTTTTTCCCAAATATTTTTAATTTGACTTTTGATATTTTCTTCCTCTTCAATTTCAATAGCTTCTGGTAAAGAACTTGACACCGGCAAAAAATTTGAAAATTCAATTCACGTGTCTAATATTTTTTTAAAAACTTCTTTAAAAATGTTAGGAGTATCATTATGGATTATTATTGGTATTAGATCTCCTTTAATTTGGATATCAGTATATTTTTTTGTTCTGCCATTCTGTTAGATTTTTAATTATATGTTAAATTTTTCACAAAATTAATTTTTGTTTATAAAAGTTGATAACTTAAATTAACGAATATGTCAATGTTTTTTTATTACTTGTTCATCATCTTCATAACTATTAAGGAATGGTTTTAGGTAAGTTAAAGAATATAGTAATATTGAATCTTTGATCTGCTTTAAATGAGAAGATTGGTTTGTCTTCGTCAGTTGA